CACTGGGAGACATGGAGACACTGTGTCCCTAGTGTCTCCGTGTCCCAATGTGTCTACCTATGTCTCACAGCGTTCCCATGTGTGTCAGTGTCCCCATGTGTCTCAGTGTCCCCACGTCTCCCAGTGTCCCCTAGTGTCTCAGTGTCCCCATGTCTCCCTGCTGCCTTTCCCCCCATCCTTCACTTACCTGAGCTGTAGTCTGTCTCTGCAGGCTGTGAACTGCTGTCTGGACTCTCTGTGCTGTGTAGCTGCTCCTCCGCGGACGTGGGCTGCGGGTGGGTCCTGGGCGGGCTTCCTGCAACTTTAGCGGATTTATCGGCCATTCCCCTACTAGCAATGTCACTTGTCCACAAGCTGGGAGGGTAAGCTATAGTCGGGGGGAGAGGTCCCTAGATGCGCTGAATATGGGCACAATGTTGCTTAATACCCTAGGGCTATGCCACAATGGACAGCGTGTAAGTTTTTTTTTTTTTTTTGTAGTCCAAAATCATCTGCTCAATCTTTAATGGGAGAGCATCGTATATATAAAATGGCAATTATTCTACTGCGCATGTGTGCATAAAAAAATAAGACCAATGAAACAATGATTTACTTGAAAGTGTTATCTAAACTATGCAAGGTTAATGCAAACGTAACATTTCATGAGAGACAGAAAAACAATCTGCAGAAACTGCTGACAAAACTATTTAGCGTTTAACCCCTGCAGGTGTGGAAGAACTTAACTAAGGCTAAGCCTGTAATCCCTTATAGACCTTTCATTTATGACAGTAATAGTATCTGTGTCTTGCATTTTGGGTTTAGGATCTGTGATGCACCTCAATCGGAAGTGACGTGACGCTGAAGGTAGGTGAGTATAACGTTGATGTCCTATGTCAAAGTTGACAAAGGATGTGGTGCTAAAATAACTGTTCTCAATTTACTTTTTTCCTACATTTCCTTATGTATAACATTGCAAATAAACGTCATGAAGTAGTGGGGAGAAAAAAGAAGGGACAGAGCTTTTACAGAAATATATATTTCAAAGTATTATGTTGGCATAGTGCTGCTGAATCGTTACCTAACTCTGTTTTTTTTTTCCAATTTATAATCTTTATTCGGAGATATCGTCTCCACTTTTTTCTTTTTTTTTAACACAATAGAGTTTGACAAAAAAAGAAGATACAATTAACAAAACATCCCATAAGTAACATATACAATAAGACACACATATCGGTAAACATTACTTTTACCCACATAGGCATGAAGTAGTATAGTTACATTTAGTAAAACTCCTATGTTGTTTAAAGATCTCACTGTAAACAACTCACATACAAAAAGGACATAACAAGACAAAACATCAAATGGTCATATGTGGTCACACTTAATATAGTGTCAATCTCAACTTAGGGCCAGAGAGGTTCAGGACATCTATTATAAGTCAGCAACAGCCTCTAACTTCACCAACCAGGAGTTATAACGTTCTTGATATTTTATATTTAACCCAGCTTCCATTTTCAATTGATATTTAATTTGTTCCTTAACTACTGGCCAGGAGGGCACCAACTCCATTTTCCAGTACCTTGCAATAGAAAGTTTCGCGGCTAAAAGTATATGCAAGATAACCGGCAGTGAGTTGCTACTAACCTGGCGAATATCTAATTGTAAAAGGCATATCTGTGGTACCATCGGTAAATCAATCAAAGTAATAAGTTTTATCCTAGATAAGATCATTTTCCAAAACTTCTGTATATACCTACAGTCCCACCATGTATGTAGATAGTTCCCGCACTCCACGTTGCATCTCCAGCAAATGGAGTCACCTGAACTATTAAACTTCTTAATTTTACTGGGGACCATATACCATCTATTTATGATTTTAAAATGGCATTCCACCAGATTGAGGCAATGGATATATTTATAGATCAAATTTAGAGCTTCTCTCCATTGGTTACAGGTAATCTGATTACCCAAATCTCTTTGCCAAGAATTAATTATAGCTTCTAGAGGTTTATCTGAGTTATTTTGCAATAAATTTAATCCCATAGATAATAGTTTTTTTGGAGAATCTCTATCAAGGATATTTCTTAGGACAGCGTGTAAGTTATCCACACTTCACTCCGAACACCGAGCGTACCCCCAAGGATGAGCACAGTAGCCGGTAGGGGTTGCCGGCCTGTGCCTCAACCAAGAGGAGCGCCAATTGTACAGAAGGCGCTATGTATATACCTTAGGTATGTTGTATGGTTGTTAAAGGACCACTATAGTGCCAGGAAAACATACTCGTTTTCCTGGCACTATAGTGCCCTGAGGGTGCCCCCACCCTCAGGGTCCCCCTCCCGCCCGGCTCTGGAAAGGGGAAAGGGGTTAAAACTTACCTTTTTCCAGCGCTGGGCGGAGAGCTCTCTGCCTCCTCTCCTCCTCCGTTACGCCGGGCTGAATGCGCACGCGCGGCAAGAGCTGCGCGCGCATTCAGCCGGTCTCATAGGAAAGCATTTACAATGCTTTCCTATGGACGCTGGCGTGCTCTCACTGTGAAAATCACAGTGAGAAGCACGCAAGCGCCTCTAGTGGCTGTCAATGAGACAGCCACTAGAGGGAATAGGGGGAAGGCTTAACCCCCCCCTGTGAAACTGCTATGTTTATTAAAAAATGGGTTAACCCTAGAAGGACCTGGCACCCAGACCACTTCATTAAGCTGAAGTGGTCTGGGTGCCTAGAGTGGTCCTTTAATGTTATGTTTCTATCCCGAGTCCCCTCTTTGCCAAATACGCCTGATGCTACGAAAACCACATTTATCACAAGTTAGCAAATATATGCCTATAGATAATGGATGATACTTTAAAAATCCTCTCCATGAATGTTAAGGGCCTTAATAGCCTCCACAAGCGCAGACTAACTGACCAGGAGATGTCCAAATCCAGAGCGGCTATCGTATGCCTGCATGAGACTCACTTTTGTGTACGTAACCCTCCCCCTTCAAGGTCAAGCAGTGCGCTCAGTCCTATCACGCCATGTCCCAAACCAAGTCAAAAGGGGTCTCCATTTACTTTCACAGTGACTGGGTTTTTACACCCACCAAACAATATGTCAGTAGAGATGGCAGGCTACTCATACAAGTGGGTTCCCTGAATGGCCTCCAGCTTACGGTTGCCTCCCTGTATGCCCTGAACAACACACAGAAATCATTTGTAAGCATGGCCCTCCATAAAACAGAACGGTATAGGGATGGGCACACTGTCATTTGTGGGTACTTTAACTGCACCCCTGACCCATTCATGGACATTCAGAGAGTCCATAACCGGTCTCCCAAACACAACTCAGTCTCTCTCAGCCACCATTTAGCACACTTACTACACTCTCATGTCTACTACGATGTATGGCGCAACCTGTACCCCGGCACGAGAGACTACACATTCTACTCCACGGTCCACATGACATACACCAGAATTGACCTATGTCTTTTTGATAAACGCACGTTACCACACGCTACTAAAATGCATACTGGTCCCATAACATGGTTGGACCATGCCCCACTAATAATAACCATGAAAATCCCACACCCGGCTAGAGGGAGAGGCGCATGGCGACTCAACGAATCCCTTTTGGATAACCCAAACCATCTCTCCCGACTCCAGGCATCTCTGGTCGCCTACTTTGAGGCCCATACACACTGCACGACCTTATTTGCCACTCAGTGGGTAGCCCATAAGGCAGTAATGAGGGGCAATTTCATACAAATGGGATAAAGAAATCAACATGCACTGAGCAAGCTAGACTTGCTCAGGAACTATCTGCAATAGAGGCCAAACATAAAACAAACCCCTCCAAACAAAATCACAAGCGCTTACAGGCTCTCAAAACAAAACTACATGGCCTACAATTACAAACTACAGAAAAACACCTGTGCTACCTGAAACTATCCCACTACACCTCAGGCAACAAAGCGAGCAAGCTCTTAGCCAGAAGACTAAAACAAAAATACCTCCAGTCCAACATAACCTTCAAACGGGGGGGGAGGGAGGGACCTCCAGTCCAACATAACCTTCAAACGGGGGGGAGGGTGGGGTTTGCCCTCCCTTTCTAATATCGATACCATAAAGGTCAATATTGCTGTTAATTTATGCTTGATGTGCATTGTGAGGAGTTACTCAACCTTGTTTACCAATCAATGTACTGAACCTAAGATTTCCTTTGTGTCACTGGCAATGTAAACTTGGCGCAATGTACATTTTAACCCTGTTTTGACTTAATAAAAATGATATATAGAAAAGTGGGCGTCATTACCAATGACAAGCACACCCCATCACAAAGTGAGCATGTTGGTTCAATGCTCTTCCAGGGCAGACCATGCGCAGAGCTCTGCTGAAGAGCTCTTGCATGAGAAAAAGACCCTGTATTTGTTTTGCACAGCGCAAGCAAATTTAATAACATGCTTGCACTGTGTTTGCTTGAAATTTGTCTCTGGTGTCTCCATAGATAGGATACCAGGAGACAAAAATGCCAGGAAAGAGTATTGTACAGTGTGTGTGTGTAAGGGGTGTAGTGTGTGTGAGGGGTGCTGTGTGTGTGAGGGGTGCAGTGTGTGTGCTGTGTGTGAGTGATGGGTGCTGTGTTTGCGTGAGGGTGCTATATGCATGTGAGGAAGCTGTGTGTGAGGGTGCAGTGTGTGTGTGAGGGTGCTGTGCAGGGCCAGATTAAGAGCCCAGTGGGCCTGGTGCTGACAATTATGACGGGCCTAATTACAGAATCATATCGACCAAAAACAATAAAACACTCACAAGCGTCATGTATTTGATGGAGATGGTGCTGGAGATAAAGAAAACAGCAGCTATAAGAAAACACATACCTTATGCTAATCTCCCTCTAATTTATGTTTTCATCTTTCAAGTAAATCCATAACAGCTAACAGCAGTGTCCAGTCAAGCAGGAAGTCAATGGGCACGGTAAAAGCGTGTGCCACTGACACAAATCACGCGACCTGCCAAAAGGGACGAACATGCCCAAAAAGAGGGTATGTCTGCCCAAAGAATTAGAAGGCCAGTCTGGCATGAATGCATGTCAGGATGCCTGCCAATCATGCAGCTGGCCATACTATGCAGACAGCACCCTGAGCTTGGCATAAATGCATCTAATTATGCGCTCACTCAACGCTTTCTAAGGACTGTTTCCTAGCACTCGCTGGTCCACTTGTCTTCTTACCTTCTTACTAGCAGGCAGAAGCTCCTGGTATATAGTCTGGGACAGAGAAAAGCTGTATGTAGTGAGTGTAGAAGAAATGGAACATGCCACAGTGTTAGAGAGACCAAAGTCAGCATTACCTTAAAGGATCACTATAGGGTCAGGAACACAAACATGAATTCATGACCCTATAGTGTTAACACCACCATCTAGCCCCCCTGGGCCTCTCATGCCTCCATAAATATAGCAAAATCTTACTATATTCAAGCCTGAAGCTGTAACTCTGCATGCTGTTAGACTCATAAAAACAAGCAGTCTGCTGACATCATTAGAAGTGGTGGCCTGATCCAATCACAGTGCTTCCCCATAGGATTGGCTGAGACTGACAAAGAGGCAGATCAGGGTCAGAGCCAGTATGATTCAAACACAGCCCTGGCCAATCAGCATCTCCTTATATAGATGAATTGAATTAATGAATCTCTATGAGATAAGTTCAGTGTCTGCATGCAGAGGGAGGAGACACTGAATGTTTGCATGCATGTTAGGCAGCCATGACCCAGGAAGGATCTCTAACAGTCATCTAAGGAGTGCCCAGTGACGTTATCACTAGGCTGTAATGTAAAGACTGCATTTTCTCTGAAAAGACAGTGTTTACAGCAAAAAGCCTGACGGTAATGATTCTGCTCACCACATACACATACATTCTACTCACCAGAACAAATTCAATAAGCTGTAGTTGTCCTGGTGACTCTGGTGTCCCTTTAACTATATTCATTGTCAACCAGTCCACACAAGTTTTGTTCCCATACATCCCTCTTAAGTTTCCATACTTAAGTAAGAGTATGTGAAAAGTAGTTAGGGTTGCCACCTTTCTTGGAAAAACATACTGGCCTTACTAATTTGCATAATTAAATATGTATGGGTGACATCGCATGATGTAAATCACAAGGAGTGACATAAGAGAAAATTCTGTAAAATCACCAAAAAACTACTTAGTTTGATTCTGCTGTATAGATGGATTCCTCCCAGTGCCCCCATGTGTTGATTACTCCAGGTCTCAGTTTTCCTATGTATCACAGTGTCTCAATGCCCCATGTCTCCCTGTGTCCCCATGTATCCCAGGGTCCCCATGTCACTAGGACACTAGGAAGACGGGGAGACCTAGGGACACAGAGGCACCAGTGACACTGGGAGACTAGGGGACTCTGGTTGGGACACATGGGGACAATGGGAAAATCGGGGACACTTGAAGACATGGGGACACAGACACTAGAGACACTGGCTGGGGGACATGGGGACATTGAGACATGGAGGCACTGGGAGACATGGGGACACTGAGACACCAGGGCCACAGACCCTAGGGACACTAGCTTGGAGACATGGGGACATTGTGACACTTGAGGCACTGAGAGACATGGAGGCACTAGGAGACATGGGGACAGTGAGACACTGGCAGACTGGGGGCACTGGGAGACTAGGGGTCACTGGGAGACTAGGGGGCACTGGGAGACTAAGGGGCACTGAGACACCAGGGACACTGGCTGGGAGACATGGGGACACTGTGTCCCCAGGTGTCTGTGTCATAATGTCTCCCAATGTCCCTTAGTGTATGTCTCCTTGCAGCCTTTCCCCCCCATCCCTTACTTCCCTGAGCTGTAGGCTGTCTCTGCAGGGTGAGAGTTGCTGTCTGGACTCTCTGTAGCTGCACCCCTGCAGATCAGTGAGTATAGATAGGCAGGGAGGGATATGCTGGAACTTCCTATCCCTGCCTGTCTCCACACACAGTGACCCCTACTGGCCAGTGCTGGTATTGCATAGTAATCTCTTGTTTATACTGAGAAAAATACCAGCATTTGTATTGCCAGTATCACTGCAATATTGGCACTAGCCAGGCAGCCTCAAATACTGTCTGTGCCAATAAAATAAAAGCCAGGTGGAATCCCTAAGAGTAGTGTGTGAAAAAAGAAAATTTTTAAAAAAAATGTAAAAAAAAAAAAATATATATATATATATATATATATTTTTTTTTTTAAATCAATGGGCCTATTCCATGGGCCTGGGCCTGGGCCTGGAGCTGCAGCTCCATCAGCCCCTATGTTAATACGGCCCTGCTGCTGTTAGTGTCAGGGGTGCAGTGTGTGTGAGAGTGAGGGTGCTGTTCAGTCCACACACACAGATTGCTGAGTCCATACACACACGCACACAGATTGCTGAGTCCATACACACACGCACACAGACTGCTGAGTCCATACACATGCACACAGACTGCTGAGTCCATACACACGCACACAGACTGCTGAGTCCATAC